AATGAAAGCAAATTAAAAAGAGCTTAGACAATCTTGTCTAGGAGCTTGAAACTGGTTCCACTGGTACTCTGTTATTCTTTATCCTGGAGATAAATGGCTATAGAGGTTCCATGGGATTCAATCCAGGGCCCAGTGCTATGGAATTTCTTTTTCAGCAATTTGTACTATGGAATAGAAGGCAAGTTTATCAAATTTGCAGGTGTCACCAAATTAGGAGGAGTAGTGAATACTAGAAATGTGCAATTTGACAAAAAGGCATGCCATATCAGGATCCATTTCCGGCTACCCTCTCATTCTGTTTATTGGAAAGTTACTTGAATTGGGAGGAGTATTGCCATTTTCATTCAGCAAAGATTCGACTCATTGGCTACAACAGGAAACTTTAAACACTTCATCCTCAATCATTTTAAACCTACCTCATTTGTAGACCCCATTTACAACTGCAGGCCTGACAAGTTTCAAAGCAATTCACCAATCTACTGATTTTTAAGAATGATTTTAAGTTTAAATCATAACAATTATTTATTTTATTTTATTTATTTGTCGTGTCAGGGCAACCAGTCAACTGTATTACATTTCTAACAGAACAAAACAAACAAACAAACAAACAGACAAAATACAAAATTTGCGAGTTTGGTAGTTGATTAAATGTCCTTTGACCAGTATCTGGCCACTTGGAGTGCTTCTGGTGTTGCCGCAAGGAGGCCCTCCATTGTGCATGTGGCAGGGCTCAGGTTGCAGGTGGTCAGTGGTTTGATCTTTTCCACACTCGCATGTTGTGGATACCACTTTGTGGCCCCATTTCTAGAGGTTGGCTCTGCATCTCGTGGTGCCAGAGCTCAGTCTGTTCAGCGCCTTCCAAGTCGCCCAGTCTTCTGTGTGCCCAGGGGGGAGTCTCTCATTTGGTATCAGCCATTGGTTGAGGATCTGGGTTTGAGCCTGCCACTTTTGGACTCTCGCTTGCTGAGGTGCTCCGGTGAATATCTCTGTAGATCTTAGAAAGCTATTTCTAGATTTAAGTCATTGACGTGCTGGCTGATACCCAAACAGGGGGTGAGCTGGAGATGTCTCTGCCTTGGTCTGAAGGGAAGGGAAGGGAAGAAGGGAAGTCTTCTATTCTGGAGACTAGGACACAGAACAATGATTCAAACTATAAGAAAAGAGATTCCACCTCATAGAATCATAGAATCAAAGAGTTGGAAGAGACCTCATGGACCATCCAGTCCAACCCCATTCTGCCAAGAAGCAGGAAGATTCCATTCAAATCACCCCTGACAGATGGCCATCCAGCCTCTGTTTAAAAGCTTCCAAAGAAGGAGCCTCCACCACACTCCGGGGCAGAGAGTTCCACTGCTGAACGGCTCTCACAGTCAAAAAGCTCTTCCTCATGTTCAGATGGAATCTCCTCTCTTGTAGTTTGAAGCTATTGTTTCACGTCTTGGTCCCCAAGGAAGCAGAAAACAAGCTTGCTCCCTCCTCCCTGTGGCTTCCTCTCACATATTTATACATGGCTATCATATCTCCTCTCAGCCTTCTCTTCTTCAGGCTAAACATGCCCAGCTCCTTAAGCCACTCTTCATAGGGCTTGTTCTCCAGACCCTTGATCATTTTAGTCGCCCTCCTCTGGACACATTCCAGCTTGTCAATATCTCTCTTGAATTGTGGTGCCCAGAATTGGACACAATATTCCAGGTGTGGTCTAACCAAGGCAGAATAGAGCATGGGTAGCATGACTTCCCTAGATCTAGACACTAGGCTCCTATTAATGCAGGCCAAAATCCCATTGGCTTTTTTTGCCGCCACATCACATTGTTGGCTCATGTTTAACTTGTTGTCCACGAGGACTCCAAAACATGGGAAAGCGATCAAAGACCATAAACTGAACATAAATAAACAATGTCATGCAACATCTAAAAAGGTCAATACAATTCTAGGTGGCATGTCTGTATTGATGGAAGTAATAGTCCATTTTCTCGGCTTTGGTTGGACCTCATCTGTAGAAATGGTGTGTCCAATTCTGGGCACCACAATGCAATAATGGTACGGACAAGCTGGAAGATTTCCAAAGAAGAATGACCGAAATTATCAAAGGTTTGGAAACCAAACCCATGAAGAATGGCTTATGGGGTTAGGTAGGTTTAGCTTGGGAAAAGAATGCTGAAAAGGGACATGATAGCCAGGTGTATATATTTAAAAGGATGTCATATAAAGAAGGGAAGTCTGCTATTCTGGAGACTAGGACACAGAGCAATGATTCAAACTATAAGAAAAGAGATTCAACCTCAATATTAGGAAGAATGTTCTGATTGCAACAGCTATTCAATAGTGGAATATCTTGCCTCTGAGTGTAATGCAGTGCCCTTCTCTCAGTGTCTTTAAAGAGAAACTGGATGTCATCCACAAACCAGATCAACAATTGGGTCACACCGTTTACAGAAAACCCTCACACAGAGATAGATATCTACATAAAAACTCCAACCATCACCCAAGTCAAAACAGAAGCTCTATTAAAGCCTTGGCAGACCATGCAAAAAGAATCTGCGAACCCCACCTCCTCCAAGATGAACTGAACCACCTCAACTGGGCTCTCCGGGCCAATGGAGACTCCACCACAGACATCAGAAAAGCTGCAAGACAACCGAGAACAAGCCACGAGAGTCAAGATGAAGATCCACCCAGAGGAAAAGTGTTCTTGCCATACATCAAGGGAACCACTGACCGCATAGGGAAGCTGATGAGGAAACACAACATACAAACTATCTACAGACCCACCAAGAAAATCCAACAAATGTTCAGTTCAGCAAAGGACAAGAGTGATCCTCTCACTTCTGCAGGAGTCTACCGTGTACCATGCAGCTGTGGACAAGTCTACAGAGGGACCACCAAACCTTCCCTTTAACAAATTATGGGGCCCCTGTGGGTGGTTGGAGACAATGGAAGCATTTGCACATAACAAGCCAGAAGGGCTGGTTTTACCTAATTCACAATGAAAGAACTATGGGCTACGGAGTGCAGTTTGTTCACTTGTTCTCTTCCCATAAATTGCAAGAAAGGAAAGGGGCAAACTATTTCTAGTAAAAGATCAAAACTGGATTTTTAAAGGAATCAGTCTAGCATACTTATTGTACTTCTAATATTTTATTTCTAGTATTTATTAAAATGGGATGCAGAAATCCTCCAGAGAGAGATAGTATATTCCAGCAGTACCAGTAATCATTGTAATGTACATGCTTTTGAAAGGAACAGATGTGAAATCCTATATAATGTCTATAATACATATAATGGTAATTTAGATTGAAACTATATTATTAATTCTGTGCTCCATCATGACTCTATGCATTTGCTTGTAGCTTTCTGTCTTCAAGATAGTCTCACTGTTATGTACATCTTTACCAGGGTTTGGTTATTGATCTATTTGGGTAATTTCTTGCTCATGCAAAATCTCAAAGAGTCTGGTCCAAAATGTATTTTCATTCAAAACATACAGCTTGCATTGTATTGACACAAGCTTCCAGTTGCTATAGTAATGTATAAATGTTTGGAAAAAATGTGGGAAACCTCTGCTGATAACCTCTATATTCTTTGTGACTGCCAGAACTCCCTTCTTTGCTTCTGGGTGGTCCCCATATCTATATATTCTTAGTGCCCCTCTTCCATTTATCATCCCTGAGTTTCTTGTGTCATACTTGTTGCTACATCAATTCAAATTTATGCTTTCCTTAAGGCAACACTATCATAGGATTATTTTGGCAAGAATTGTGTGTGTGGTGGTGGGGGGGTGCCTTTTGTCATTCTCTGAAATTAAAAAAGTGTCGTTTTCCTAGGGTTACCCAGTGGGTGTCCGTAGCTAAGTGGGAATTCAAACATTGTTCTCCTTCATCCTAAATCATTGATTCCCAACCTTTGGTCCATGGACCACCAGTGGTCCGCAAAAACTAAAATATGGTCCATGGCCCCACCATTACTACACTGTTGCAAGGATAGCAACTGGTCTCAAGAAACCCTCTTATAGTGCTAAAGCAAAGAGGATGTCAGGTGGGGAGATGCTGACTACCCACAAAAGGTGCAACATCAAGCCTCCTGACTGTTGCTTCTCCTCCTCCTCCCTTCCCCTGAGCAGAGTTGTTCCATGTGGCATCTGGAAGTCAGGGGGCCTTAGTGTCTTCATTTTTAGGCCTGGTTCTAGGTTATTTGGAGTGCTGATTCAGAAAATTTCATTGGATACACCACATCAGCTGTAGATTATTAGATATGTATATATTTTCTGTAGATTATTAGATAGGTATATATTTTCTGTGGGTGAGCAGATGGTGACTACTGGGTGGCACATGTTCTGTATCATAAACTAAAACTGATATTGTCTATCCAATGCTATTTTCTGAATCAGCACCCCAAATAACCAAATAAACCAAAGTTGACCAAAACCCGATTCCTAACCCCTTTGATACTAATGTTGGCGAATGTCCCCTGGTCAAAGTGGTCCCTGGTCAAGTGGTCCCTGGTCAAAAAAAAAAAAGGTTGGGAACCACTGTCCTAGATCAATGTTCAAATTACTACACTATTCTGGCTCACATGACACCCCCTCCCCCCCCCCCACGAAATATATCAGACTTTCACTATGCATGGCAAATTCTATAAAACTTCAAATACCTGGGTCCACATAAGGCATATACAATGATGGAGATTCTGAGCCCTTTTCAAAAGAAAGAAAGAACGAAAGAAAGAAAAGGAAGGAAGAAAGAAAGAAAGGGAAGGAAGGAAGGAAGGAAGGAAGGAAGGAAGGAAGGAAGGAAGGAAGGAAGGAAGATTAATGTTAAACAAAATAAGAGAAGAGCCATCCATCCTCCTTTGTAGGCTTATGACATGGCATCTGGATGTGTTAGTTCTTGTAGAGGGCAGAGATGGAAAAAGGTTAAATATCTAGTTCTCACAGATGAAGAAAGGTTATTATCTCTTCTCTCTTTTTCTCTTTATCACTGTTGGATTGCTTTGATTCATATTTAATTAAAGGACCCCAGCTGAGTCTTCCTGCTGTCTGCCTTCCCAGGAGGTGCTGTCGGCAGCCTTGACCCTCGGCAGGACTTCGAATCTTTCAGGTAGGAGGCATAATATTCGACTTGCTGCTTTGTGATGAGCCCTTGAACAGCATTTTAAAAGGGGTCAAGAATTGGTAAACGGGAACACAAACACATAGATACACTGGAGGAGCAGGGAGGGGGGCGAGATGGAAGTGTTATTCTAATAGCCAGCTCCGATTCTGAACTGGAAAGAAAAAAGTGCTCAGGACAGCTGAACGGCTGATATAGTGTCATCACATTAGTCAGCATGTGCAGAAGGAGGCCATAAAAGCTGATGGAATGAAAAGGGCTCCCTGCCATGCCTGGACCACAGAGTCAGAAAATAACCACGGTAATTGCAAGAGGAGTTTGTGAGCCTTCAGCTGGAAGTTGTTGTCCTGTGGTGATGTGACATGCTTTTCAATGATTGCCGGAGTGAAAGATGAGGGAGACCTACTTTGTACGGTCTTCATTTGGAGATGAACACTCCCCTCTATGCGCCTCTGTTTTCTTGCTCTGCAGTTTACACAAGCAAGCATCCTGACATGGTATTAAAAATAGTCAAGTGCCCAAGGAAGAGGGTGGTCTGTTTTTTTAAACTGCTAGGAAAATAAGTCATCTCTTTTGGGTCAGCCCATGACATTTTGCTGCCTTGGACCACTGGCAAACACTGTGCCTCAACCAAATCAATGTGTGTTATACCACAAAACAGCCTATAAGTCCGACAGACATCAGGAATATAAAGCAGGTAACTCACATAAGGATTTCTGCCAATCCTTTGCAGTAAACATACAATGACATAACTAACAATGTACAGCTCTTATTGACACACAAAAATCTGCCTCCTCCCTCCACCTCACTCAAGGGAAGGGCAGTTGTATCCTTTGCTGTTATATCTTTGGGATTGGCCTCATGTTAGCCACCTGGAGTCCCTTTGAGGAGATGGTGGTGGGGTATAAATAAAGATTATTATTATTATTATTATTATTATTATTATTATTATTATTATTAAAAAGATCACTTCATGCAACAATGCAGAATTAGTTCTCGGAAACAGAAAAAGGTAAATCTAGTGCAGAGTATTTATCCTGCAAGACAACCAACCTTACTTTGAAAGGTACCTCTAATTTAATTAATAGAGTCTATCAGGAAAAAAAAGATAATTATCATTTCCCCAAATAATTTTCCATGCAATCAGTTTTCTCAGCAAACCGCTTCTTTTTAGCTCATGCATTTTGATTCCTCCTTATTCCTCCTTTTTATTATTCAGTCAAGGAGAAAAACAAGATATTCTGGGTCACAGACATGGTTTGTGTTGAGGCCAATCTCTATAAAGGGCTATATTTCACCAGGCAGCACACATGCTTTGCATGAAGATGGTCCCAGACTGAATCCTTGGCCTTCTGAAGAAAAATTAGGACAGAGTCCTGCATAAAAACCCAGAAACATCCGCTGTGAATTAAGGTAGATGATTGTGAGTGTGTGGGAGCCACAGTCTGGCTGAGGAAAAGCTGCTTCCTATTTTTCTTTGCCTTTAACTTAAGCAAAACAGGAAAAAATAAACTGAATAACTCATTCATATAACAGAGGAGGGGGGATGAGGGAATATGATTAGTGGCTTGCCTAAGGCTATCCTTGAGATCAGTGACTTGGCTAAGGCTTCAATAAGACTTTTAAACCCAACCATTTGTCTCCATAGACATCACACCGCAAAAAGAATTCCCTCTGGAGTTCTATGCCTATTTTTTTTTTCCCATACAGAGCTGCTATAGGAAGGAAATACACAGGTATGCTTAGTTCAATATTATTTTTACCAGTTTTCAACTACCCAAAATTGTCCAGATATGTTCCCATCCAGACTGGTCCTTTGTCTCGTAAGAAGGAGTTGCTGGGGACACTTTGCCAACACAGTGACCCCAGGCTGAAAACGGGAGCCTTTCCCTGCCCTGTCTAGAAATGCCAAAGTTTGAACCTGATACCTTTTGCACAGCTTTACCAAGGAGCTAAAGCACAAGTTTTTCTTATAAAATCCCTGAAAGAAGCAAACTTGTTCTGGAGTGTTATATTTATCAAAGTATTTGCTTAATTCCAATCTATTTCAAGGTGTATCCAGCACTAGATGTAGCCATGGACAAGCCAGGCAGTGGCCTTGTGTATATAGAGCTAAAGTGCAGATTTCCTTTAAAAAGAGGGGTGCCAATTGAATGGAGTGAATTGGTTTTGTTGACTGTATTGACTGTTTTTTGTTTGTTGTATGGTAATTTACACTGGTCTAACCCTCAGTTGTGCCAGCCCCTTTCAATTTTTGGGTGTTTCACAAGGAGGTATCCAGTTTCTTCTTGTGCAAGTAAAACCAAAGGCTACTGATTGCAACTGCCCCTCTCCCCTCATCAATAGCTGGTTATAGGGCCATGTCAATGGGCTGTCTAGCTCCCCTTGGACACAGTAGCAGCAGCAGCTTTCAGTCTTGCATACAGCAACAGCCTCTGCCCTTGATTCTTCTTTATGATGTGTACAAAAGTTACCCAATCAGCATGTGAGCACACAGTGACAGTCAGGAATATTGTGCGCCAAAACTCTGTCTGTCTGAATTCGGAAGTACCAGAGTAGTTTAATGTGTTCATTCTCTGTAACTTTTTCCGGCTTGTGATCCCACCAGTTCTTGGTTGCAAGCAGATGGTATTTGTGGCACAAATTCCAATGAATCATCTGAACAACGGTGTTATGCCTCTGCTTGTAGTCTGTTTGCGTGATCTTCTTGCAGCAGCTGAGGATGTGATCTATCGTTCCATCTGCTTCCTTGCAGAGTCTACATTTGGGATCTGTTGTCAACTTTTCAATTCTGGTTTTGATGGCATTGGTTCTTATTATTGGTTATTATTATTATTATTATTATTATTATTATTATTATTATTACTAATTAGAGAGGGCCTTCTAGGTGCCATTCCCAGAGTGAGGGCAGGGGGCATATTTTGAACTAATTCTGACTCAAAAATACTGTTTTCCCCTTCAGGCAGGTCTTTCTTGTGTGTGTCTCCGGTTAAAGGACATTCAGCTGCTGTCATGCTCATTCATCTGCTTTCATGCTGGCTCCATATTCTTAAATAATTAGTTGCCATATTCTTAAATAATTAGTTTGCATGTTATTTGTAATTAAGATTTTGTTTTTGCTTCTGTATGTTAACACTGCAAGCTGCCTTGCAGCGCATATTGGGTGGGCAGGGGTTGTGTGTTTTAAATCAATAACATTTGGGAATACCACAAAACCGAAGCACCAAAGGGACTGCTCACATGTGGTGCTCTTCATATTCTTCCAGAATATTTCTTACTTACTGGCTCTCATACTATGGGTTCATGTTCCAAATGTTAATGTCTAGAGATCAGCTGTATGTGGAGGAAAGCCCCGGTGTTTCCATATTTTTAGGAGAAATATGATTAGTGTTTTTTTTTTCTTTTAAAAGCAGCTGTGAGAATGAAACATTGTTCGTAAATCATTTATCTTGCAGCTGTCTGTGTGCGTGTTTGTATCATTTCTGTGGACAGGATCTAAAGACAAACTGCACAGTGGATGGATGTAGCATAAATAACAGCAGACCCACATCATTTCCCTGCCTGTTGTTCTCATTGCCCCTGCTGAGACTGGCAAAGCTTCTTGGCTGAAGGCTGTGTGAACTCTGTCTATAAACCACCCTGTGCTCTGGCTGTGTGTCTGATGTACCTTCATGGCCCATAAACTGCGCCTCATAATCCCCTCAAGTCCCTGGCTTTTCTCCATTGCTCTCCAATTTCTCCAGGCTGCTGATGCAAGAAGCTGCATTGGCTGACACTCACCCAGCACGTTCTGGCGCTGGAGATTGATCGCATACCGATGGTACAACATTTCCCTCGGTGCCTTGCTGTCATATATTCTCATAATGCTGTAAAAGTAGCCTCTCTGTCCTCTCTTCAAATCCTGTTAGAACAAAGCCCGAATCAGTTATAGATAGCAAAGAGATGAAAAACCCCAAAACGGCCACCCATGCAGCAAAACAACACAAAAGGAAAATGTTTGAATTTGGGGTCAGGTTAGACATTCTTTGTTCCCCTTTTCATCACTGAAAAAGGTAAATACATATGCAAACATAAACAAATGTATCTGCCTTCAGTTTGGATGAAGCTGATGGAAAAAAGATGTTTTCCCCCATCAGTTCCTTCCTAAAAATGGTTCTTCCACTGGAAAAGCTCATTCAGCAGAGAGACTGGCAAGAGCAATGGTCTAAGAAACTCTTGCAGATTAACAATCATCCCCAGTTTCCATTTACTTACCTAGGGGCCCTTCCAGATAGGCCCTGTATACCAGGATCTGATCACAGGTTTTCTGATTTAAAATGGATTATATGAGTCCACACTGCCAGATAATCTGGGATAAACATAAAACCTGGGATTACATCCTGGGATATAGGGTGTGTCTGGAAGGGCCCTAGGAGATTTGCATACCTTTCAGCTGCATCTCAATAGCATCAGCTTCCTGGGTTAGATTCTTAGGGAGCCATTTGGGGCTGAGGACTGGCATTCCATTGACAAAGTGTTTAAAACTGCACAGTACCCCAAGAGCTTTGACTGGTAACCAGGAAATAAATCCTCAAATTAAAATAAATAAAATAAGCCAGGCATCATTTCCAGGTCTTTTATTTAACTGATAAAATGATTATGATGACAATGATAATAGTTTATTTGCCAAGAAGACGGTTGGTAAATTTCCCCACAGCTTGAAAGTCCATCTGATAATACACCTCTTATAAGAGAGTCTTAAGGTTTGTTCTTTAGCAGTGGTTCTTAACCTGTGGGTCCCCGGATGTTTTGACTTTTAACTCCCAGAAATCCTAACAGCTGGTAAAGTGGCTGGGATTTCTGGGAATTGTCGACCAAACACCTGGGGACCTACAGATTGAGAACCACTGTTCTATAGGATATTTAGGATATTTAGGCAACCCTATTTTGGGGTCTTTTTTGCTAGATTTCTGCTATTGCTATTCCCACAGGTGAGAGAGTTGACTTTCCCAAGGTCAACCAGTAGGTTTCCATGGCTAAATGCTGATTCAAATTCCAGAGTTCTAGTCCAACACCCAGTGTAGACTCATATAATCCAGTTCAAAGCATATAATCTGAATTCAGAAACTGGATTATATGGCAGTGTGGATCCAGTCATAGTAGCCTAGTTCACCACTCAAACTACTGCACATGCTACCTCTTAAAAACAGCTCCAGGATTTCTGCCACTGATACCTGCAGTCCAAACTATTGTTTAATTCAGTGCTTTAATTCAAACTAGTTTATGGGTGAACCAGCAGGTACTTTTTCCAATGTACACTAAATCAGTTCCATGTTTTTGCCCATTGGCTAGAATTATTTTTCCACTTTCTGGAAACTCACCTGGGATAACAACCAGTGGTTTGTGGAGTGGCACTGGTCCATGGATCACCATTACAGGTAATATATAATTTATTTACTGTATTTGTATACCACCCTTCTCAGCCCTCAGGCAACTCAGGGCGGTTTACAATGGCAATGATTCAATGTCCCAAAACACCATAAAACATTTAAAAACATTACCACATTATATAAAACCATAACAAGAATATTAAAACATAGATCATTTGCATCTCTTAATAATAAACAGTGTCACATTTTGTCGTCCAATTTCTACATCTTTTACCTTGTAATTTCAAACGCTTGCTCAAACAACCAAGTCTTGACTCTTTTCTGAAATGTTAAGAGGGCAGAGGCCAATCTAATGTCCCCAGGAAGGGCATTCCATACCCGAGGGGCCACCACTGAGAAGACCCTGTCTCTCATCCCCACCAAACGTGTTGGTGACGCAGGCGGGATTGAGAGCAGGGCCTCTCCGGACGAACGTAAAGTCCTAGCAGGTTCATAAGGGAAGATGCGAAGTTGGGCCAGAACTGTTTAGGGCTTTATAGGGTAAAGCCAGCACTTAGAATTGTGCCCAGTAGCAGTCTGGCAGCCAGTGGAGCTGGTGCAACAGAGGAGTTGTATGCTCCCTGAGCATCACTCCTGTTATTAATCTGGCTGCCACCCTTTGGACCATTTGAAGCTTCCGGCCAGTCCACATAGAGCGCATTGCAGTAGTCTACACAGGATGTAACCAGAGTGTGGACTACCATGGCCAAGTCAGACTTCCCAAAGTATGGACGCAGCTGGCATACAAGTTTTAATTGTGCAAATGCTCCCTTGGTCACCGCCGAAACCTGGGGTTCCAGGCTCAGCGATGAATCCAGGATCACTCCCAAGCTGCGAACCTGCGTCTTCAAGGGGAGTTTACCCCATCCAACACAGGCTGTAACCCTATACACTGTTAACCAACTGATAACTCCAAGGTTTCAAGGAGGAGCCTTTCCTCATGCTGCCTGAAGACATCAGGCACCGAACATGGGATCTTTGGCTCTAGCCTTGAGAAGCAGTCCCAGAGGAGAGAATGAGGAGGGCGAGAGCCACATATATCACAATGAACTCATTAGAGGAAAGGCAGAATATAAATCTATCAAATTGCAGAATGCTGGGATCGCCACCAGCAATAAAGAATGCAGCTCACAGAAATACCTTCATTAAAGGGGAGTCCTGAGCAGATGAAGGGACATGTATGCAAAGAAGTTTAGGAGAATAGCAAGTGCTGCAATTTCGTTTGTAGTATTCTCCCATCCTTGTCCTGTTTCTGAAATGCAGGAAGCAAACCAATTGTGATGGTAAACTAAAAGCAAGACAATATTGTGAAAAATAATAATGTTTAATTCCTTAAAAACAGTTATGCAATTGCAATGAAATTTCGTATTTATTTTCAGCTGAGTCCGCCCATGACATTTTGCTGTCTGAAACAGAGTAGCTAATAGCTACACACACACACTTACCCGAGTCAAGATATATATTACTCAAAACTTGCCAAGTTATTTTACCACATGAGGCAGAAAATCCAATAAACAGATCTTCCTATCCCTGGTACTAAAAATGTGACAACAATAAATTAAACAACTAACCATTTGCAGACCCCATGTGGCTATACATCATAAACAACCGTACCTCTGGACAGATAATTGGATCTACAGAGAGGGATTATGGTTATAACCAGTTAAATGGGCTTATATGTTAGGTGGGCACGGTAAAGGCACAAATTGCCTTCCGTTTGAAAAAGTAGCTGCTTGTTCTGTACTTTTCTTAACTCATCATGAGATTAATATTTTAGAAGATATTTGTTCACTTTTCTCCACTGTTGCTCTGACAATGTTAGGGTGGTGTAGAAGGTGCTCTCTCTTCTCCGTTTGACTTTTATGGCAGCTCTATCTGGCAGGTTGGCTAAGAGCCAAGGAGATGTGGTACTGAACAAAGCTTCACAAAGCCTTTTGCCCAAAAACAATCAGCCCTCCTCCTTCACTGGGGTTAGTACATGAACCATACAAGAAATAGTTTCTTGCTGCTAATTCCAAACCTTTCACACAAACTGCAGCAGGTTAGCCATGGATATTAGGGTGCATCTATACTATAAAATGAATGCAGTTTGACACTACTTTAACTGTTATAGCTCTGTTATTGGGAAATTGGACTCCTCTCCTAAAAGATGAACTCAACACAAGCTGCATGAATTCTTATTTTTATACAACTTCGCACTTCTGAGAAAGCGGCTTCCCTCCATGCTACCCTTTGCCCTACTTTCATTGATGCTGCCATGGAAGGCTGGTTGATTTCACACCACAAAGACATTAACATATCCCCCTATGAATGAATGGATCCCCTCAGGAAAAGTCTCCACAGGAAATGCTCTCAACCCTCCCTTTCCCCCACATGTTATTATCCCTGTATATTTAAAAAGACATTTAAAATGGGCTTTTTCTCTGCTCCTGAATCTGTCTGTGTACGTTCTTGAGATTTATTCATAAACCCTATACAATGTCATTCATAATTCTTGCATGGTGATGTGTTCATTGATGAAAGTATAACTGTGTATGCTGTGTAGGGAGAGATGCACTTATACAGTTCAGCGTGCAACTCCCAAAAAACCTGTTACATAATATAATATGGCCAGTTTGTGTACCGGTGGCTCTTCTGGCTTCCTACTCATTGTAAAGCTCATCATGTAGGGTTTTTCCAGCTTATTGATAAGATCCTGGGGATGGGTGCACAGTTACCAGTGTATAATTTCCATTGAACCTAATTGACCACAGTGTTCACAGGACTCTTTCTTTGTGTAAACTGAACTAAATAATGAATTCTATCATGTACTGTTTTCCATACTGCCACACGACATTCCTGAGGTCTGCACCTCCCTCGGGGGCAGACATTTAAATGGACCCATATTTCAAAACAATGAATAATGGCTTTTTGAGTTTTCCAGCACCAGGAGGACCAATCAGTGGATTGTCTTATGGAGCCAACAGCCAGTGGCATCCCAAATCATAGCTGGACATGCTTTCAGTCAATCAGAGACTGCCATGGGTGCTCTGAATAGCTGTCAAAGTGTTTAAATATGTTGTGTATTTTGCATTGGGTTATGTCAGATCTTTGAAAGTGCAGACTCTATTCTGACATCCTTTCTGGCTGAAAAGAATAAACCTCTGTTCTTGTTGCCTTCAAACCTGGTTTGCATTTTATTCTTACCTTTGGAGTAGTGAAGCACACCAGGCTCCAAATCCCAACCTGTGGTTCGAGAGGATATTGAAATCACTTATCAGCTCAATGTTACAGAATCATGAGAGTTGTAGTTTTATAAGGTCTTTAGCCTGTTTTGTCAAATACTGTTTGTACCTTACCAAAATACAACTTACATTATTCATATAGCATTGAAGGTGCATCTACACTGTAGAATTAATGCTGTTTGAAACCACATTAAGTGCTATGGCTCTATGCTATGGAATCTTAGGAGTTGTAGTTTGCTGAGGCACCAGTATCCTTTTGCAGAGAACACCTTGCATTGAGCCATGGCAATTAAAGGCATGTCAAAATGCATTCATTCTACACTGTATATGCATCTGAGCCATACGGTTAAAGTGTAGTCAAATGGCATTAATTTTGCAATGAAGATTCACCCCAATAATAATAATAATAATAATAATAATAATAATAATAATAAACAACTTTATTCATACCCTGCCACTATCTCCCCAAAGGGGATTCGGGCGGCTTACAGGAGGCCAAGCCCAGCAGTAAAATACAATAAAATAAAACCAAGACAGCATCATGATAACAACAATAAGATATAAAAATACAATAAAAACAATACAAAACTAATACAATACAAAATCAGTCCCAAGGGTGGACCACCTGTACAAATTAAAAAGATAAAAAAAAACTCAGGATGAGATAGAGATGAAAAAGAAATGTTTGTATGGGAAAAGCTCATAGGATGGAATAGTGGAGACAGGCCTTCAGACAGGCATGGGAAGTACAATATGAGGTCAACCCTTGTGGTAGGGCAACAAAAGGAAATATCAGATCATTCTCCAAACATGCAATGGAAGAGCCAAGTTTTGAGATCCTTCTTGAAGGCTACTAAGGTGGGGGCTTGCCTAATCTCCCCAGGCAATGAGTTCCAGAGACGGGGGGCCACAGAGGAGAAGGCTCTCTCCCTCATTCCCGCAAGTCGAGCCTGTGATAAAGGAAGGAGCTAAAGGAAGGCCTCCCCCAAAGATCAAAGAGATCGGGTGGGTTTGTGGAAGGAGAGACGGTCATGAAGTAGGTGGGTCCCAAACCTTAATGTGCCTAGCTGAAATGGGAGTGAACTGGATTCAGATCTCCACTCACCTACAATGCCCAGTATGTGACCATGGGCCCCACTGTCCAGGGCCGTAGCCAGAACAAAATTTTGGGAGGGGTTGAATCAGGGGGGGGGTTGAAAATTTTGTGGGGGGGGGTTGAAACCTGCCTCCTAGCTCACGCTGAAGCAAAGAGCACAGCAGGGGGCAGAGCAGCCTTCAATAGCCTGCAGCTCCGCCCCTGTCAACCACCTCCACCAAGTCTGGCCTCCTTAATGAGAGCATTCAACACACACACACCCAACTTGGTTGCTTCACTACATCGGCTATTGCTGCAAGTAATGACAGTGTGAATAAATTGTCAATATTTGCTTGAGATAGTGCTTGCAGTTCTGGAGGGACTCTTAATTTTTTGCATCTCATAGGCTTAGCATGGGGATTTGGTTAACCAGTTAAAATTCATGAGTAAACCAGGTTTTTTTTTAACCTGAAAAATTGGGGGGGGGTTGAACCCCTAACCCCCCCCCCCCCCCGGCTACAGGCCTGCCACTGTCATACAATGCAGTTTCAGAATGCATTTCAACTGCATTGAACTGAATTATTTGAGTCAACATTGCCACATAATGCATTACATGGAAGTTTAGATGGGGCCTTTGTGTAGTCTCTTTTACATTGTAATCTGCTATACAGGGTGGCTATGAGAATTAAACATAGCTGAGGCCCAACAACATATTGGGGGAAAGGCAGGAAAAGAATAATTATCAAGTAATACAGTACTATCATCAAGCAACTGAACTATACATTTTCCATCTAGGTAATTGCCCAGGATTCCCATTTATTTCTGGCCAAAACAATACTGGAAATGTCACTACATTTTTCGAAGACTGCTTGCTAAGCTCAGTGCTATACAAACACTGCTAAACAAACTCTGATACAACATCTATAATAATTGACGCAAATATATATTTGTGGGCCAAAAACATCCAATAAAAAAGTCACTTCTTCAACATAGCTGGAATGTGAAAGTGTCAATATAAAATAAAATTCCTCAATCACTGACTCACCTGTGGAAAGTAGCAGCACTCTTTCTTCACAAGATAATTATTAATATTATATTCAGCATCTCCCAAGAACCACAATACCTCCTGTTCTGTTGACAAATAACCTAGCAACAGAAAAGAAAGAGCGAGGACGAGCCTTGGATGAGTGCCTGGAGGAACTGTTGACTGGCTGTCTACTTCCAGACTGGCTTATTCATTGTGTCAAATGTTTCTTACAGGCACTGACTGGATCATTATTGGCTTGGTTTTACAAAATATGTCCTTTATTGTGGACATATTGTAGACCTAAGCGAATGCATGAACGGGAAAATAGAACTTATCAGAGAAAGAATGTTTGCCCACGAGCAGCATCTCATATCTCCCCCCAATTAAAGCCAATGTTAATTCCAATATAAATCTTCCCTGACCCAGATCTATGAGGAAGGGCAGACTGAGGATGTATCTACACCAGGGGTCCTCAAACTTTTAAAACAGGGGGCCAGGTCACAGTCCCTCAAACTGTTGGAGGGTCGGATTATAATTTGGAAAAAAAAACATGAATGAATCCCTGTACACACTGCACACATCTTATTTGTAGTGCAAAAACACTTTAAAACAATACAATAATTAAAGAACAATGATGATGAGATAGGATTGTTGTTGTTGTTGTGTGCTTTCAAGTCATTTCAGACTTAGGTTGACCCTGAGCGAGGGCTGGGTAAATGACCTTGGAGGGCCGTATCCGGCCCCCGGGCCATAGTTTGAGGACCCCTGATCTACACTGTATAATTAATGCAGTTCTATCCCACTTTAACTAACATGGTTCAGTGCTATGGAATCATTGGAGCTGTGGTTTGGCTGATGAGAAAGCAGACACAGAGCTGCTCCCTCACTAAACTACAAATCCCATGATTCCATAGAATTGAGCCATGGCAGTTAAAGTGGTAACCAACGGCAT